GAGCGATCGCCGTGTGCCGACGCATCGCTGTTGTATGCGCTTTAGGGTTTAGGGTTTAGTCGTGCTTTGGCAAACGGCAGGAAACTCTGCGATGCCGCTGTACTCCGCAAGCATTCTGACAATCTCTCGGAGGGATGGCGGAGTCCGAGCGTTCGGGGGCAGACATGAGTCGAAACAAACCTGGTTTAGGATTTAAGGCTTAGGGTTTACGGGTTTAAGGTTTCGGGTGTCGCGTGTTTAACGAAGATGCCCTGGTTTAGTGGCGTCCTGGGAAGGCCTCGCTGAAAAAAACTAGGTTAGCCCTCTAAAGCCTCAGAAAAGTAAACAAGATCCTCTTAAGCCCGACAGGGGAACACATATATGAAACCCTGATGGCCTACCTAGTAAATACTCTGGGAACGGTGATAGATGTCCAAATTTCAAGCCAACCCACAATCGCACCACAGTTTCCCAATCTTGCTCTCCTGCACTTTCCATAAGACAGGCCACCATGCAGGAAGACTGTCGGTACGCGCACACACTGCGGATGGTGGCTATTCACAAAGTCCATAAGCATGCATCTAAACCCTAAACCCCTAAACCCTAAACCCCCAAACCCTAAAACCCTAAACACCTCTATAGAACCCCTATAGATCCCTTTAAAGGACCCCTTTGGATCCCTTTCCCAACGCTCTGCACCCTGAACCCTCAACTTCAAGGCCTCAGCCCTGACCCCCCGGGCGGCCTGAGCCGGCCGAATGCCATGGGCAGGAACGGTTTAGGGTTTAGGAGGCCATAACCATTCAAGTGTTTAGGGTTTTAGGGTTTGGGGGTTTAGGGTTTAGGGGTTTAGGGTTTAGGAGGCCATAACCATTCAAATATTGCTGGGGTTTAGGGCTTGGGGCACAAGGTTCAGAGTTTCGGGTTTAGGGTTCAGGGTTCAAGGCTCACCTTAAGCCCTACACTTTAATGCTTGCGGTTTATGCTTCTAGTTTCGAGTTCGAAGCTTCCCGGCTTCCAAGGCTTTACGATTCACTTAGCGATGGGTTTAAGGGTTTAGGGTTCTGGAGTTTCGGTTCAGGGCTTGAGGCTTCAGGCTTAGGGTTTGATACATGTTCCGGCTTTGGGGGGTCTAAGCTGACGGTGCCAGTAGACCAACCTGAACCTGAAAGCCACGGCTTATGGTTTAGGGGTTTAGGGTTCAGGATTTAGGGTCTAGGGTACATCCACAAGCACGTGTCCATTCAGTTGCTCGTATAGGTATCCCTCTTGCTGGAGTCTCGGAAAAAACGAATGCAGCACACCACCCTGAAGCCTACACCCTAAACATCGAAACTGCTTTCATCGCGAAACCAGCGCGAAAAACAGACGTCTACGTACACACATGCATACATACATACATACATACATGCATTGACACACACGCACACACACGCCCAGCCATACAGACACACATGTGACTTATCCACTTGTGGCAAGCAGACTCAAACTTGCGAGTGGCAACATGATGACAACATTATGTTACTTTACCTTGTGTGGAAACTCTACTATCCCAAACCCTAAACTCCTAAAACCTGAACCGTAAACCCTGAACCACTTCACAACCTACACACGAGCTGGGTCGTTCTCTACTAAATTAGGCCGTACGACACCCTTATAAAAGGTCCCTATATACCATCATGTATACTGTATTAGAGTATGGTACATAGCGTCACATACCCTCTCACTACCAACAGTTCCTGTTGGAATATACATTCCTCTGCAATCGTATGTCACGGAGGAGTGAAGCAAGCAAACGTCAACCTCGAGAAACCGAAATTGACCAAAAGACCCGAGGTGGCGTCGCCAACAAACGAACCGGCAGCCCCTTCATACACGTATATCGGAACAGGCCGGTACAGAAACGAACGAGAAGTAGACGCCGCTGTGCGTAAAGGCGTCGTTGTGCGAGACGACCGTCGCCGTCGCCTACTGGTGAGGGCAGCACGTGGCACACGCATAACGAGCTAGCGCATACAGGGAGAGCGAAGTCCAGGCAGAGGTCGGCGCAGGCTGCCCGCAACACAGAGTCAGCAGGAAGGGCTTCGCGACGGCGCCGGATGGAACGACCACTGCCAAGGGTGATTATGACGGCCAACTGGTCGAAGAGGCGGTTGCGGATGGTGGTGAGGGCAAAGGCCTCTTCAACCGCAGAGACGACATCAGCGAGCCGCTGGAGGAGGGCAGCGGCTTCGGTGCTCATGCCCCCCGGCGCCTCAAAGATGATAGGCTGGTAGGTCACCCCTGCTTCGCGGCAGAGAGCTTCGGTCCGCTGGTGGCGGCGCTTATGTGTCGCAGTATACTTTCATACTCTCTTTTGCTTAGTATACTATTGCTCTCAATTACGTAACAGCTTCCGAGCCTTTTTGCTGTCTTGACTGGAGGGCTTCGGCGAGAGTCGCAGGTCGCAGCATCAAACACTAAAGCATCAGCAGTGGCGTCAGGATGCAAGGTGCACAGTACTCATGCCCTACTTAGAGGATCATGGGACTTAGTAAGTAGATTATAATTGGGGTTACAAGTCCCCTAAGTGGGGTTATCCTACTTATAACCTACTTATAACCTTACTTACTAAGTTCCCTGCCCCTCCAAGTACTACAAACTACAAAACCCCCGCATGCTTTCCAACACCATATGAAAGAAACATTGCCAGAACCTCTCCCCAGCATTCTGAAGCCCTGTCAACGTCCTGGGAAGCATTGCAAAGGCCCTCAAACACCCTAAAACCTAAATCTTAAAACCTATATAAACCCTCAAAAAGCCTTGGCAAACATCAAAACCGATGTGCCGCTGATAGAACCGCCTAACACTCCCAACCCCCCGGAATTAGGCAGTGGGAATACTTAAAATGATATTGGAGTGAGATCGACCCCATCAGGAAAATCTCACGACCTGCGCTCGGCTGGGAACCTTGCCGACACACGGCTGCTTCATTCGTGAAGCTCAAAGTCTCTGTCCCCAGTGTGATGCAGATGCTAAACCAAGAGCTACTAGAGAACCACGACCAATAAACCGCTTCTGTTTGAAGGCCCTATAAGGTCGAGATCACCAGCCATCATTCAGACGCTCGGTCTTGGTACCTCCTTGTACCTCGGTGCTCTTAGGGTCCGAAGCATCTTTGCGAAGGATTTAGGATTTTATTTCGGGTTTAGGGCTCAGGGGCCCATAGCGGCCCATGAACCCTCAAAAGGACCCCGAACTGCACCCCAACCCCCCTTTGATCCGACTGGCACCCCCAGTTACAATCCTCTTCTGATTGTTACGGATGTTGCAGCCAGGTCAAGTGAAACATCTCCTTTTTAGAGGTCCCGATACCCCTCAATTCGCCTCGGCCCCGACCGAAGCAGTCAGAGGTTCCTATTCGGATTCCCTCTATTCCCCACCTCTTAATCCTCCCCCAGTGACCAAACCCTCAAAAGAGGTACTGCTGGACCCCCCCCCTAAAGATGGAAACCTGTAGATGAGCCCCAGAGTCCGGGGGTGAATTCTCGCCTTCTCCAACGGATTTCGGCTCTCTGCAGGCAGTCCCACCCACCTTCCTCCTCGGCTCTTCCCCCTCCACCCTTCCCTCCCGGCTTCCTCCCCCCCTCCCCCTCCCCTCCCCAATTTTTCCTAAACCCCACGCCTCTGCGCAAAAAGCATGTTCCGCGACCCAAACAGGCAGTGCTCGTTCCGGTGCAAGCGCAAGCTCCATCCACTGCTGCTACGTCGGTTTGTGCGTGTCATCCTTGTGCAGGACGCCTAGGGTCTAAAGTTTAGGACTCAGGGTTTTATTGTTTATCGGGTTACCGGAACTTCATGCAGCACATGCCGGCGCGTGTACATGAACCCTGAACCCTTTATAAACACTATGGACTATAGATCGCTTTGGGCGGCCCGACCGAGCATGGCATCGATGCCGCCGTTGAGGGAACATGCAGCGAAGAATGAGGGTTTAGGCTTGAGAGATGAGGCTTTGAGGTTTAAGGTCTTAGGAGCGAGTCGCTACGGGATGAAGGTCCTCAGTCTGCATGCCTCAACCAACCCTAAGATCCGGGAAAACAAAAGGAAAAAGGATACCTCTTAAAACTAAGTTTTAGGCTTTGAGGGTCCTTCAGGGACGCCTTCACAGTGCGCTTGCTTCCGTCACGGCCGGGCCGAGGCGGACGACGCGAAGTGTTTAAAATTAAAGAGTATACCTTATATCATAATGTTAAGGCCTCTAGAGGCTCCATATGTACTACCATTAAGGAATTAGGTCCCGAATCGCCATTTTTATTATGGTTTTCCGGGACCTAAGTCCATAATACTAGTATGTGTGGAGCCTCTGGGTCTAGTTTGGGCTTTAGGGTTTGGGGCTTGTAACTTCTCAGTTATGGATGTTATATGGAAGGCATTAACGATTGGAAGAGGGTTTAGTACAATCATGAGGGAATTGTTAATGATAAACCTCAAACCCTACATGAGGGGATAGCACATTTTGCGAGACCCAATGAGTCAGCAGGTCAGCAGTAACCCTCTTCACAGGCAGAATATCGTTGCCTTACTCATTAGGGTTTAGGGTTTAGGGTTTGGGGAGGGTCTTCTTTTACTATTCTGACATTGAGGAATCCTGATGATAGTGTTGGGAATTATTCCGGCTTCGGTATTTGCCCGGCCGCAGCAAGATACGAAAACTGTGATTTGGGTGTAAGGCCTCTTCGTACACATCAAAAACCCAATCCTCGAACCCCACAAAAACCCAAGTCGAAGACCTCACGAAGCCCCTTTTGCTCCAAGCCGATGGGCCGAAGCACCTCAATTATTTGGGAGTTTCCGAAAACAGGGGTTACCTTATTTTGGGGTCCTTATAATAAGGATCCTACTACTTAGGGTCCTATATTAGGGTCCCTTATTTTCGGAAACTCCCATTTGGGATTGGCCAAACCCCCAACCTTCAACCCTAATTCCGGACAGGCTCGTGGCTTTGGCCCCAGTTCTGCGAGATTGTCACCGGCCAGCTGCTAGCCTGCCATGTCGGAGACATCGTGTGTTCTTGAAGGGTTTAGAGGTTAGGGTCTGGGATGGTTTATTTGTTTCGGGCTTACGGTTCAGAGTTTAGGGTCAAAGGGATTTGAAGATCGAAGATCTTGCGCATGGGGAACGGGTTTGGGGATCAGAATAGTCTAGTTGTGTTCAGGAACCCTAAGTGGAACTGCCACACAAGCTTCTATTCTTGTGGCTCAGCGTTTCGGGTTCTAGGCGCTGTTTCCTGTAGCCTCGCCGTTCAGGGCTTTAGGCTTTGGATTTCGGGTAAGGTTCGGTGCAAAAGGTTGAGAGCTCTCGTGGTTACAGGTACGGATTTCGACATGGCCAAACTTACCTTTGGTTAGTAGGGAATGGAAGAATGGGGGTAATAGTAGTTATAATTGTACCCCATTCCTCCATTCCCTACCAACCAAAGGTAAGTAAAGAACCCCTTCAGAGAACCCTTATTCAATCCCTGGTCTAACTATCCATACTATTATCTAAGGCTCCTGAGTGTAGTGAGGCTACAATATACCCTAAACCCTAGAAAGTCGGGTTTCTATAGCAATAGCTACCCCTAGGGATCAAGGACTCATATATTAAGGCTTTTGGGCCCCAAGACCATTACTAAACCCACCAAACCCGCTTCTGACTATCAAAGCCCGCCATCCTGAAAAACCCAATTCTACCAATCAAAGCTAGAACCTTCTTCTAGTTATCAAAGAACCCTATATGCGTAGTTCGCTACAGTCGAGTCTCTTTTGATTGAGGTTCCTCAAACAGTACGGCACGTTTATGACCAGGACCCACCCATAGACATCATAATACGGAGCCCTGTAACCCTAAGCCCTAAACTCTCTTCTAAACCCCATGAGGATGGAAATGGAGGATTAAGGCCAAATAGTGCTGGGATTCACTATACATGGCTCTTAAAAATTGAGGCTATTGGGTTTCCAACTTTTGGGCTTCTACTGTAAACCCTCTTCTAAACCCCTATATTGAATGTCGGGTCGCCTAGAGCGCGGTGGCGCTTCGTCGGCCGAGGCAGGCTTCGACGGGCTGAGATGCAGCTTTAGGGGTTTGCCGGTTCAAGGTTTGGGGTTTAGGGCTTAGGGTTTAGGGTTTAGGGATTTAGGGTTTAGGGTTTGGGGGTTTGGGGATTTAAGGGTTTCACTCCAGGGCCAGGGATGATTCTGAGTGTTGTGTTTGAGGCTTTAAACGGCAGCTGGGTTCTACAATAAGGGCTTTGAGGTGGGTTGGGCTTTATGGCTTCATAGGGGTCTTCATAGTTAGGATAAGGCTTTGGGGGTATGTCATGCTACCTGTTAGCATTGGGGAACCGTTGGATTGGATCTGGTTCGAAGACTTAATATGACAAATGGAGTTTTCAGTGCTGTAAGTCGAACCCTAATTGGGGCCATGGTACTTAAACGTCTATATAGTAAGTACATATTATAAGTCCCGCGACCCTCCTTTATAGAACTCTTATAGGTCGTTTTAAGGATTCCTTTGCGGAGCCCTGTAAGGAACTCTACTTACAAAGTCCCCTGAAGCTTCATGCCATCCCATGGAGTTCCGGACGGGCTTCACAACCCCAAATACTACATTCTAAGCCCCTAACCTAAACCCCTAAACCCTAGACCCCTAAACCCCTAAACCACCCCTAAACCCCTAAACCCCAAACCCCTAAACCCTAAACCGTGTTTAGGGTCCAGGGTGCAAGTCTTTAGGTTCAGGGCTTTCTGAGTGCGCTGCTGATCAAATGATGGCTTTGGCATTCAAAGTGCAAATAGGGCCCTCTATCATTGGAGTTGGGGTTTGGGGTATATTATACCGTATGTGGAAGAGGAACCCTCAGGAATGGTGTTGGTGATTCGAAACCCTAGGCCCTAAGCCCTACACCCTAAATCCTAAGCCCTAAACCCTAAACACGACCCCAAACCCCAGCCCCCCCACCTGGTGCCGGACTCTCCTCCCGACCCTCACGCCAGGGAGGCGTCCCTGGAGCCCCCAACCTCAGTTCTCTACGGTTTAGGGTTTAGGGTTTAGGGTTTAGGGTTTAGGGTTTAGGGTTTAGGGTACAGCTAATGGCTAATGTAGGAACCTGATTACGACACCTTGGGCCTTCATAAGGGCTCCATATATGAACCCTACTGCTTTGGTGGTTATAGGCCCACTTTGGGGTGTGATCCGTAACGGAAAAGATAGACTTGGGGTTTAGGAGCTTAAGAGTTTAGGAAGCTTAGAGCTCAGGGATCTCAGGAGCATAGCCGGTGGCGTGGTGTTGCCAGGCAATGCAGGGAGCGAACTTGTCGGTGTGACGTTGCCGCCGGTCCTGCTCTGCGAGGGCTTCGGGATTTTAGACTGTGAAGTTTATGGTTTAAGATTTACCTGGTAGGTATGACCCCTTAACTACAGGTTATAACCGTTACAACTATTTGCATTTGGATTCCCAGGTCGGGCTTAAAGTTTACGGATTACGGCGTCTCGCCGTAGAGCGACAGCAATGTCCCCAACACAAGAGGGGTGTGGCCGGCATATCCACCTCTGGGCAATCACCCAAACAAGCAAAACATCGGCATGACTCTGAATTCCTGCCTCTGTGCAAACAGACTGCCTGGTTCTTTTTAGGGAATGGGGAATGTATTATGGGAACTAGTATTGGGGATTGTATAGGGACTACCAAAGGGATCCATTCCCCCATTCCCTACTAAGAACCAGACAGCAGATGAGGAGCCTGTTGCTGATGGCCTTTTCCTGGCCAGTAGTCCAAAGCCCAAAACCCTCAAAGCCCCTGCAAAATGGACAAAACACCCCCAAAACCCGCAACCTAAACCCGAACCCCTAAACACTGAACCCTAAACCCTAAACCCAAACCCCTAAACCGTAAACCCTAAACCCAACCTAAACCATTCAACCTTCAACACAGCTAGAGCCCCGGGCGATCTTTGAACGTGGGCCTGTCTCCGAGGCCACCCAGAAGCTTCCCTGGGTTAGTTCTCTGAAAGCCATTTCCCTGACCTTTCAAAATCCTTTAATTAAGGATTATGCCTTGAATCATACTAGGGATTCTACTATAGTTTAAGGCACATTCCGGAATTAAAGGATCTGGGAAGTTCTGGGTTGAAGGGATGAACCTAGTAGATGCTTGTCTTGAGTTTAGGGCTTAGGGTAGCAACCCCGTCGAGTCTCTGAACCCTCAACCCTGAGTAGCACCTTTGAAGCCTGAAATCCCACAAACCCGAATCCCAAGACGCGCACATCACCACACCCTAAACTCCAAAATCCAAGAACACCCCCCAATCCCAAACCCGAAACGCTGGAACTTAACCCCAAGTCCCTTCTTTGCCTTGCCTGAAGTTCGGCGTGTACGGATTCGTCGCCGGCCGTCGCAGTGCTGGTGGGTCTGCGGGCTCCGGGGGGGGCATGCTGCCGTAGTGCGCCCGCAGGTAGGCAAAGACCTTTGGGGGTTCAGGGTTTAGGGTGCAGGGTTGCGGGTCGGCAAGAGCCGTTCATAGGATCTTCATGAGTTGTTGTAGCTGTTTGTAGGATACTTGTCCCTAAACCACAAACCCTAAATGTTTGCTTCAGGGTTCAAGGTTCGTCTGCGGCTCTTTCGGTGTTTGAGGCAGGTGTTTTCGTTTCGGGTTCAAGCGTTGAACACTAACCCTAAATACCTACATCTCTAAACCCTAAACCCTAATCCTAAACCCCAGATCCCTAAACCCTAAGCCCTGGGATTTCGGAACCACGCACTAACCCAATCGTTGATCCGGGGCCTCCGGACGGTCGAGCTTGTTGTACGTGATGACCCCTGAACACAGCGAGCTGCTTGATTAATATAGGGGCCTTAATCATTAGCATGTGGTTTTGGGGTATACTATAGTGAGGCCTATAGTAGGGTTTAGGGTTTTGGGGTTTAAGCTGTAGGGGCTCCTTGAGCTTTTGCAAGGCTTTCTAAGGTTTCTTGCAGCCATTACCGAGTTTTTCAAGCATTTAATATAGGGCTCTGAAAACTGAACAAGGGCTTGGGGCATACCACCCACAGACGGTGAAGTCCCGAAGCGCTTGTGTTGAGAAATCCCTACCCGACCTCTGGGGTGTAGGTCCAGCACACCCGTTTCCGGGTTTACTTCCATCCAGCGGTCCTGCATGGTTGAAGGACTATGATAGGGTTTAGGGTTTAGGGCTAAATCCAAATACTATGGTTCGCGTCGATTATAATTTAAGGATTGCAATAAGCGTGCTCATCAAAGGTCTGCGTTTTGGTTTACGTGCTTGGGGTTTAGGATGTACGGCATGCGCTTTACAAGCTTGAAATCAACGGCAACAAAAGAAGCACCAGTAGTAGGAAAACACGTTTCGTTCGTGTAGTAACAACTGTACAGATCCCCTGGTACCTGATCACCAACTCAAAATAGCAATGTCCTAACTATAGGCGTCCTTATGTCTCGAATCTTACTTTCCGGAGTCTTCGTTGTGGTATTCCTGGACACTTGACCCAGGAATCTGGAAATCCGAACCCTAAACCCTAGGCCTTATCCTCCACACCTAAGGCCTCCCAAACCCTCACCCAGACCTTCCAAAAACTTAGGATCCCTAGCAAGATTTAAGGTCGAGTCTATTCCTGAATCATGGGTACCCCAGAGATCTGAAGCCTGAACCCTGAACCCTAACTCGAACCCTTTACTGTCCTCCATATCACCAACCGGACCAGGCCCAAATTTGGGGCGGTACCAGGCCACAGCCCATTCTTCTCCTGGCAGATTTGGTTCAGGGTTTAGGAGCGTTGGGCGTGGGATCCTGACATTTGGATCTACCGAGACTCAAACGTGGAATACGTTTGTTGGCTACCGTGGTTTCTGACTATAGGTTCCTAACCATAAAACAAGCTATCGCAACAGAGCGTTACATCTCCGCTAGCTGCCGGTACCACTCAGACTTTTGCTTGTGATAATGGGTTCGTGTTGCTATCATCGCCGGCGCAACTTCCCCGCCTGTCTTCACTCTTTGCCATAAGTTCCCATGGATCGGGTCTGTGGGGAAGCTCACGCAGTAGCGCTGCTTCTTCTCTTGCCACCATGCGAAGGTACCGGTTGCAACACACCAGTACGTAAAATACCTTTCCACGTCTCCGGGTGTCGTCTCGTGACTGCGAACGTAGACACCATTCAAGTTCTGATCCATGAATCCATGGAGCATGAAACCGGGCGGGACCATCTCATCGTTCGCATCTCCGAGCAGTTGCTGCCAGTGCTGTTCTCGAGCATCCATGTACGCCATGCTTCGCAAAATCGGGCAATTGTGACGATGCTGCTTGCATTAACCATGCTTGATCTATCTCTCCATACTTTTCAAATGTGCGCATGCCATAGCCGAAACTGAATTGCAGTTCTTGACACACCTTCCGGCCGAGACAAACGCACAATCAGAGGACAAACATCCAGCAACACCCTTTGCTTCAAGCCTCCTTCAGCATTGAGGGTTCTATATAGTTTAGGGTTTAGGGTTGAGGGTTTAGGGTTTAGGGTTTAGGGAATATAGTGCTGCTTCTATGAGGGTTTTGAGTTTAGGGTTAAGGGTCTAAACCCTAAACCCCTAAATCCTAAACCCTAAACCGTCTAGGGTTTGGAACATTGCAGTCCGAAGCCGACTGAGAAGCCCCTGCACATGGAATCGGCACTCAACGGAGGCCTTTTTTGCGGCAAGCACCCCTGGAGTCAGAGTCGTCAGGAAAGGCTCTGCAACAGCTCTTGGGGCTTGGTGCTGAGGCTCCGCGCAGATCTCACCCTGGAGATCGCAGCAGCAGCTTGAAAACTCCAAACACGGAACTTGAGGCTTTTTCGAACCCAGAGACTCCAAATTCCGACGATTGCGCTACATTCCCTACACTCTAGCAAGGGACCCCCCCCCAACCTTAAACCTTAAACCCTACTATGATTCAATGAAGGGTCTTGGCTTGGAGTCTCTGCCAAGGGGCAAGAAGCCCTGGAAGATCCACTCCACTTTAATAATATTGGTAGCTGTTCAGGCTGATGCTTAAGAAAAACCTTCACCCATCAGAACCTACGTTTTTGCAGGTTCCCCTTAAATCCCGTTTTGGGTTGATAATAAGAACCTACAAAAAAGTCGGGTTTGGTTTCCTTAGGAACCCAGCTAACCGGGAGCCTAAAACGTCTGAAACACGAGGACGCCTTCGAGACCAAATCGGCAGATGTGAAGACTTGGTTTGACCCCTCTCGTGCTGTCTTGTTTCCCGGTGGTTCTGCAAAGGAAGCCTTTTGGGGCCCTTTAGGGATTAGTATTGTATTACAAAAACTCACTGTTATTACTATTGGGGTTTGTTTCAGGCTTGCAGGTTCCGGATTCAGGGTCTAGAATGGTCTAGAGTTTAGTCTTTGGGGTTCCTAAGGACCTCGAAACATGGCAGGGATTGCGACTACCCGAACCCGGCCCACCTTCCTCCGAGGGAGGGTGAATGAACAAAAGCCCCATGCTCCAAGTCTACGGCCGTGGCACATGTTAGCCTTGACATTTAGGACAGGTGGGGTTATGATAACGAATCCACGTAGAGACTACAAGAGGCTGTGTATAATTATCGGGAAGTCAAGTTCCAGAGCTTTGTGTGTCTGCGCCGGTGCTTGCCACCTCAGAACCGAGCTTCTTACGGCATACTTCACATGGCCTGCTTTGTAACTGTCAGTGCAACTATATCCATACTTAGATGAAAGATGTTACACTTAAGCTGTCGGTTGGACCTTTTTGCGTTTAGGAACTGTTCCTTGCGCCCCGGCAGCCGTTGCCTGACGCGGAGGCTGCAGAACAGTTCGAATCCGAAACTACACCGCAGTCGTCGTTCACGGAAGTACGGAGATCAAGGTGTGTTCGGTGGGTTCCAAAGAAACCCAGTCTGGTGTAGAAAAATATTGAGGGTGACAGAAGGTGTCATGCCAAAATCCTAAGCTATAAGGCTATAGGCGTTTGCTTCCTGTCATAACCCATCTCTGCCAGCTTTAGTAGATCGAAGTGACAACATACCAAAACACAGGAAGGCCTAAAACCTTTGGGTATCAGGGTTTACCCTTTAGGACCCACCGTTTGAAGTGCTGGACATCTCTCAAAAACCACATGGACCTTCATATATCTCAAGAATCACCTGCATCATTCCTAAGCATTTTGCTATAATGTATACTGGAACGTTTCTCGAAACCATATAGGATCACGTGGAAGGAGACTCGCTTTCTGGTTGGGTCTCCTTGTAGTATTCCCCGTGCTGATTCCAAACCTTTAGAACAGCGCTCATAACCCTAAACCCTAAACCCTAACCTCCTAAACCCTAAACCCTGGGGGCCTAAACCCAAACACCATAAAATACTCTACCTTCAAACCGTAAAGCCAGACCCTGAAACCCCGACATCATCCGGAAGTCTCTCAATCCCAAAGCCTGGTAGAACATTTCAAGCACAACCACGGAACCAAAGAAGCACCCTGGCACTTTCCTTGGCGCTATAATATGGAGGCCTAAATAATTACCTATACTCTTTTGGTGGTTCCTTATTATAACTACAGTATAACAATCCCCCAAACCCTCTTTTTTAAGGCCCCTAGATTACCTCATCTCCTTTCTCCCATCACGCGACACGAAAACTTGAAACCAATCCTGGCTTGGGCTGGGCCTTGCTTTTGCAAGAGCCAAGGCTGGAGGATCAGGGGCGCTAAGGGTTTAGGGCTTAAAAAGCCAGAAACCAGAGAAAGCTCATGGCTGTGTAAAAATTCCAGCCTACATCTAAACCCTGAAGCCCTAAACCCTAAAGCCCTAAAGCCGAAACCCCTAAACCCTAAAGTCCTAAAGCCGAAACCCCTAAACCCTAAAGCCCTAAAGCCGAAACCCCTAAACCCTAAAGCCCTAAACCCTAAACCCCTAAACCCTAAACCCCTAAACCCTAAAGCCCTAAACCCTAAACCCCTAAACCCTAAAGCCCTAAAGCCGAAACCCCAGACGCAGGTCAAGTTGATATCTCGGCTCGTGGACTAAGATTCCACGACCTTCCAAAACCCCTTAAGTAAGGAATATACCCCTAAGGGTTCCTTAGAGGGATCTCTGAGGGCTCTAGAAGGGAACTAAGGAATATATACCTTAAACTATAGTAGGATCCCCTGCATGATTTAAAGTATATTCCTTAGTTAAAGGATTTTGGAGTCTATGGGTTGTCGGGTCAAAGGTTTAGGGAAAAGATGCCGACACAGGACTACGGGAGTTTTCCTATCTACGTAAAGTATACTATACCCCAAAGTGATGCCCCTGTGTTAGGGCTCAGGGTTTAAGGTTTAGGGTTTCCTGTCTATGTAACACATAATAATATGCCCCCAAATCCTACGGTTGATGATATAAATCCTGCATTACCCATGACAAGGAATACATGGGAAGTGTGGTATATTCCTTAATATTGGTAATGCAGGATTTGTATCATCAACGGTATTCTGAAGAGTGAGGTCCTTGTGTTAAGGCTGTGAGCAGGGTTAAACAATCCTATTTCGCACAGTTCTGGCGCCTACTAGAACCTGCCTTGCGAAGCACCCAGAACCTCAAAGCTAAGACCCTAGTCCCTACCCAGAGTAGCCGCAGGGTCACCTTTTTCTGGTGGGCCCCTAAACCCTACAGCTTGATGCCGACTAGGGCTGCTCTAGGTAACCCTGATCCTCCAACAACAGGCCAAGATAAAGGTGCGATCGAGACGACCTTCAAGATCTCTAGCTCGGAGGGCCAGGTTCTTCAGGAGTGCTTGATGTGTTTTGGGGGTGTTTTGAGCTTGCACGGGGTTACCATGCGAGAAATTCAGGAGCTCACATTAATGCAAAGATTTGAGATTGGGGTTGTTTGGCCCTAAACCCTAAACCCTAAACCCTAAAGATTGGGTTCTCAGGGGTTACTGTAAACTCCATAAAGTTGGAAACCGGATTAAGGCCAAATAGAGCTGGGATTCCCTATACATTACTCTTAAGGATTGAGGCTATGGGGTTTCCAACTTTTAAGCTTCTACTGTAGGGTTCTTTCGGGATGCCTGGGATTCACGGTTTCGGAATTAGGGTTTGCCGAGGGCTCGGAGCTGAGAGTGTCGTCTCTGGGGGCTTTTTGGGTAGTTCTACTTGGGTTCCTAAAGGGCTCCTTAAAGGGATCCATAGGGTTCCTTAAGGGAGTCTATAAGGTTTAGGGTTTAGGGTCTACTTAGAGGATCATGGGACTTAGTAAGTAGGTTATAATTGGGGTGATAAGTCCCCTAAGTGGGGTTATCCTAATTATAACCCTACTTATAACCGTACTTACTAAGTCCCATGAGCCTTCAAGTAGGGTTTCAAGATTGGGGTGTAGGAAGTAAGGCACAGCGCTTGGGCTCTAAAGGTCAAGACATACGGTTTAGGGCTTGCAGACTGGGACTCCAATGTTGATAAATAGCCGATCGGCTCAGTGTGCAAGCTGTACATGCACTACGAGAGTCTTCTCAACTCAGCACACGGTGGCACGACGCCTCATCAGCCCACATAGGCAATGGCACTCAGGGCTGTAAGCTGGACAGCTACGGTTACACAATGCGGACACATACATGCACACATGCATGCCCTGCATTCACGCATATACAACTACATACATGCATAGGTACAGACAGACAGACAGACAGATTGACAAACGGACAGAGGCACAGACAGACGGACAGACGGACCGACCGACGAACGCACGGACGGACGGACTGAAATACATCCAGGTAGACACACAGACGACAGGCCCCTAAACCCTGCACGGCGAACCTCAAAGACCCTGTCGAGCGCGACCGGCCATAGGAGGGCTTTCCTGTGGCTGTGGGCTTTTGTAGTGTTTAGGGCTTAGGGTCTGAATGACTATCAGGGCTCTTTCAGGGTTAATTCTGAGTTGGCGTGACTGTTGAGGTACCTTGCAAGGTTTTGCAAGCCTGTTTCGGTGCCCTCTGGCGGCTTTAGGTGGATCTTCAAGGTTTTGCAGGTCGATTAAAGCTGCTCTACATGAACCTTACGTCTCAGGTGTGAGTGTTTCCGTGGTCGAAAGTGACGACCTGCAAACCTGCGAAACCCTAAACCCTAAACCCTAAACCCTGAACCCTAAACCCTAAACCCTAAACCCTAGACCCTAAACCCTAAACCCTAAACCCTAAACCCTGAACCCTAAACCGCACCAAGATCCGAAAAGT